CCCCAAAACCCCAAAACCCCAAAACCCCAAAACAGCGCCATGATTGAGAAAGGAATTTATTAACTAATAAAATGTCTGAATTCCTTCCTAAGATCTACATATTCTTCCCATAATTCCTTCTTAACTTTTCTTGGTTTCTTCGTTTTCACACTATATGTATGGATAAATTTGAAGGGTTCATGGAAGGTGGCTTACTAGGACTGGTACGAACTGATGGAGGCTTTGATTTTACTGTTGGCTTTTAGAAGTTTCTTGTAGAAATCTGAGGATTTATTTGCAGGGAAATTGGTCGTGATCGGTGGGTTTGGAGGGGAGGGTGTGTAGTTGTGCAGGTTGAGGAGCGAGCGACTGCCTGATGTGCCTGAGGGAGAGCAAGTGACTGTAGATTAGTGTAGTGCAGAAGGAGCTGTGCAGGGGGGATTTTGAAGGTGAGGGATGAGTGGGGAGGCTGAGGTTTAGAGGTTTGGGGGTAGTGTCGGATTGGAAGTTATTTAAGAAGGTGGCATTTTGGGAGAAGAGAGTAGGTTTTTGATGGTAGAGGTACGCAGCTGATGTTTAGTTGTGTGGTGATTTTGTGTTTTTGGAATGGCTGGTTGAATAGTACTTCCTCAGTCATGTTTGATGAGTACTCTGCATCGTCCACGTTGAGGGATGTTAGTCAATGAACCCGAGAGTCTACAGCTTTAGCAGGAATTTTAAAGTCTTTGTAGATTTGATCAAAGAATACAAATGTTGTATCAGAGGTATTAGGGTTAAGTCAGTAAAACGCATCAATTGGATGCTTCTTCAATACAGTATCCAGTATAACATTTGAGTCAGAGATAGATCCTAGATTAAGTTTAAGTAACAACTTACCTCACTTTACAATAACTATTTGGAAGTTCTTGCTCATTTTAGAGAGAAACTTGTCAACTTTTGGGCGGACATATAATCTCTGTTTTCTAGTGAATCCGAGAATTCCGTCATAATAGATTATGAGTAATGGTTTTAATTCAAAATTAATTTTTCGCTTATAATGAAGCCTAGTGCTTATTTTATGATAATTCTGCTCTGAATTTGCTTTGATAGTATAAACCAGCTTTCCAGGTCTCTTAATTTTTGAAGGTTTTAGGGTGGATTTCTTTGCTTGACAAGTGTGCAAAATTTTAGGTTCAATCTTAGGCCGTTCTGAAGTATCTATTTGCAAAATTATACCAAAATCATGATATTCTTACTTAGTTTGCAAGAGCTGATATTTAAGTTCACCTCATCCTTTTTCTTCTTAAATATTCCGCTCATAGAGATCTCTATCTGAGGTTTCCTCCTAATGCTATCAAGTTTGTACCAAAAACTCATTTTGCGCTTTCACAAGCGGTTCTGGGTACTTTTGTTATTAAATAGAGGGGATTCTATCAACTTTTTGGTATTAAACATGCTTAGTTTGGTTGCATCTCTGATCCGTGTTCTAGGTGACTTTTTCATCTAAATTTGGTCGGAAAGTTTTACCTCTGATAAGACACTCTGATTATAGGAACTTTCCTCGATGATTGAGGATTCTTTCTTGTGTCTCTTTTCAGATAAATTATGCATAATGCTTCTCCTCTTCTCCCAAGGATCTGTTGGAACAATGAAATTGAAATCGTTGGGTCGAGGTTGATGAGGACTATTTAGTAATGTGCTTTCTCTCCGAGAATTGAATGAATCAAATCCGTCTTTTAGTGTCCTAAAGTAAACTGAGGATGTTACTCTATAGTTGGATCTAACTTCTCAGGCTCATGTTTAGATTGATCGCGCTTTAAGGAGTGTCTTGATTCAATAGTCTGCTCCTCCTTGCTAACCAAAGAATCTGAAGAACAACTTGAAAATCCATTAGGAAAGATTTTATTCATATTCGCATTCCTTATCTGTTGAATAAATTCTTTATTTATTACGAAACTGTTATTTATCAGCTATTTTGTTATCCCTTCTTTTAAAATCAGGGCGGTTTTTAGAGATAATCGGTAGCTGAAGTTCATTACCAGGATTTTTCTTGTCCCTCAAAGACTTCAAATCTCAGTTACTTCTTATCTTTTGAATCTAAAGAAATAAATATAAAAAGTACAATGTTAAGAGAGTTCAGAGCAGCTGATCTCTTAGACGAATTAGACTTCTCTCTGGGCAAATTCAATCGACTCTTGGACTGCTTTGTTTGGATTTTGATAAAATTAGGTGCAATTTCTTCATCAATTTCAGAGAATGACTTCTGGAACCGAGGTCTGAAGCTTTCCATACTATCTCAATTTATTATAAGCTATTTGGGGTTTTGGGGTTTTGGGGTTTTGGGGTTTTGGGG